AGACAAGTTTTCAAATGGTTGAAAGTGATTCGTATCTTGAGGCTTATAGACACAACCTCAGTGCCTTAAAATACCTAAATGAAAAAAACTTGCCTTTCAAGGAGTATATTGTCTACTGTAGCAAGGACATTGAACCACCTAAATACCTCATTCCAGGACCCGAAGAAGATAAAGTAGAACTGAACGAGAAGAATCAGCTCATCGTAGAAGTCGAAGTTCCTTCCCCGGCGGACAACAAAGAAGCAAACAACGATGACATATATCCTACACAGAAAAAAGTCAAGCACATGAACATGACTTCCATTGCTGATCCAGAATATTTACTACACCACAAGCTCAATATGTCTAGTATTCCAGTATTGGACCGTGACCAATGGCCAAGCAAGGAAGCATTAGGACTTGATGAGTCACAGTACCGTGCATGTCAGCTTGCACTCACTAAGCGCTTTGCGCTCATTCAGGGTCCACCTGGAACTGGTAAGACCTACGTTGGGCTCAAGATTGCTCATGCACTACTCGAGAATAAGAAGCTATGGAATAAAGGAAATCCTTCGCCTATTCTTATGGTGTCCTACACCAATCATGCCCTTGATCAGTTTCTCATGGGGCTGAAAGATAGAGAAGGTATTTTGTAAAACTTTTCCATGGTTATTTTTTAGACGTAGTAGGAACAACCAACCTCATTTCTATCTTCCCTCTTTTCCTCCTTTCCTCCTTTCTAATCCTTCCTTTCTTCGTTCGTTGCTTCGTCTTGCTTCGTTCCTTTGTTTGTTAATTCTTCGTTCATTCATTTCCTCGTTATTTCGTTCGTTCAGCGCATTACTGCAGTGTTCTTACCAGGCCGCGCCATTGCGGGATTCGCGCATAAAAATCAGAAATGGCGCGCAAATGTCAACTCTATGCGCCCCCAAGGGCGCATGAATTATCCAAAGAATACTTCCTGATAGTTTTAAAAGATTTATAGTACTTTTGAAATAATAAAAGTCGCATTCTATTGTCAATAAACAAGGTGAAAGTCCACATGCAACGACACGAATCGAACGTAGCCGCCATCTTGTATTTAACTCGCCAAGAGGTCTGGGACTAGTCTGTGTTAACTGACCTTGTTTATCGAAGGCTCAAGTATGGCTGCCCAGCGAAATTTTGTGTTGTCATTACTAATAAAACTGTTTTACATTGTTGTAGATTTGCAACAGAGTTACTTGCAAAAAACCATTATTATTCTTTGTTTTAAGATTTTGGAAGGCCCATCCAGTTTTCTAAATGGCCCCTAAATTTCGGATTGATGGGCCCTTTGACCCCCTGAAAGAAATTCCTGGTAAGAACACTGCATTAGATCATATATATAATGTATTTTGCGCTATATTGAAATATTAAAATTATTACCATTATTATTTGTTATTTATTTCGTTCGTTCGTTCGTTCGTTCCTTTCTCCTTTACCTCTTTCCCTCTTAGTTACCTCGTTTTTTCCCTAATAACTTTCTTTGTTTTATTCGTTTACCTACTAATCATATTTAGAACTTGTAAAAACCTGTATAAAGGTTGTTTTTAACTGGACGTTTCAGGTATTGTTCGAGTTGGAGGTCGTTCTAAAGAAGAAGAACTTAAAGAGAACAATCTAAAGATGCTAAGGAGTACTTATGGTCAACGTTCCATCGAGAGAAACCGTGTTTGGCGAAAGATAAAGGAGATTGAGGAAGACTTTTGTTCAAAAGAGGCAGCTCTATTGATTTCAGAAAGCAACAAGGCAATTTTGTCTGTGGAAATGTTAAAGGCATTCATGGATGAGAACCACATGTACAGTTTAATAGAGCATGGAAGAAACCATGAAGCTTTGAATGATACCTTGACAAGATGGCTTGGTATCAAGGTGAAAGACCGCAGCGAAAGAAACGAAAATAGTTTCCCGCACAACACAAACTTCAGGCATATGTTTTCTTTGAGGCAGTTTGATGATGATGACGCTGAAGATGACGAAGATGATGGTCGACAGAAACCGTCTCTTTTCGCTTGTCACTTGAACGATGCTGTAAATCCTGCTGAACTTCGCGGGAATCTCGACAACTGTGAAGAAATGTCTGTATTGCATGAGAGAAGGACAAGCGATATTTTCAAGATTAGTCGTCGTAAAGAGCGATGGAACCTTTATCGATTGTGGCGTTCTAGGCTTCAAGAAGACTGCCGAAGGAAGATTAGATCAACCCAAGATGCAAATTACGAATCAGAGTTGAAAAAACTACACGAAATTGACAGTGATAAAGACTTAAGGATCCTTAAGGGAGCTAGAGTAGTTGGCATGACAACAACCAACGCAGCAAAATACCATGATCTTCTCCAACGAGTCAGACCAAAGATTGTCATCGTGGAAGAAGCCGCTGAGGTACTGGAGGCTCACATCTTGACGTCACTTCCGTTGGATTGCGAGCACGTGATTCTTATAGGAGATCACCAACAACTGAGGCCAAGCTGCACGGTGTACGAGCTGGCGAAGAAGTACAACTTGAATATTTCTATGTTTGAACGGTTGGTCAAACTACAGATTCCTTGTGTGCGGTTATCGGTAAGTACGGACTAACTGCAGCAGTAACTTGCCAAACTGTGACCATGCTTCGGAATATGCAAATTAGGAGTTTTGATACCATATTAAGAAGAAACAAAAGTCATTCCAGCTATCCATGAATCTTGGAATGACGCATCTTCTATCGCCTATTGCCTATCGGTTTTGATTCAGACACCTTTTCTCGAAATAAGTATAAACTTTATAGCAAAATCATTGCCGGATTCAAAAACACAGAATATAGAAGCTGAAAGAAACTGAAAGAGTTCATTAAAAGTACGTTAAGCAGATGTATCTAGTGATACAAATCATAGAATGTTCATAAAATGCTTCACTGATAGAAAGCAAGAAGGATTTTAACACGTTTCATATCGACTGCTTTTCTCAAATGCATACGTCAGAGGATAATTATGTCATTTCTCAGAATACCTTGGGGTCACAGCTTCTATGTTCTATACTTTGAACACGTCTGACAATGATTTCGAAGTTGAGAGGACTGTATACATTGTATGCGCATGCTTGACGGCGGGAAAAAAAGAATCAGGACCAATAATTGAGACGGAATTTAATTATGTTACATCTTCGAAACAGGAACAACACCGCATGAGACCAGAGATTGCATCTCTTATGAAGCATATCTATGAAGATCTTAAAAATCATTCATCTGTAGAAAGCTATGAAGACATACAGGGTTTTGACAATAACGTTTTCTTTATCGATCACAGGTAGGTTTTTGAGTGCACCTCAGCTTTTATTGTTAAACTTTATTTTAGCAGGGAAACCCATTCAGCTTGCACAACAAGGCTGATATTCAAAGGGGCCCTGCATTTGAATTCAAAACAATTTGGAAACGGGTGTTAACCAAATTGTTTGCTATTTGACCAAATACAACACTTCATTGAATTTCCATGGATGCAATACCTTTCCAAGTTATTACATTATGATGTCACAATGACGTGTTGTACACCACGTCTGCTCTAGCCTGGCCATGCTTGAACCCCAATTTTGGATGATGTTACTGTTTGGCTTCAGTCCTACGGACAGCTCAAAACATTATCCATCATCTTGTCTAAGTAAATTGATAGAAATTCGTGCATATGTTTGCGTCTTTTGTGTGCCTATTATATGTTCTGTCCACTTTTCCTTTATTATGAAACTTCTACAGATGTCCTGAGGGAGACAGCGACGATTCCTTTAGCCATTTCAATGAACACGAATCTCGATTTCTAGTGAAGCTTTGTCGTTATATTATACAACAAGGCTATAAACCAAGTCAAATAACCATCCTCACACCCTATCTTGGGCAGATGTTTATGATCAGAGATCACATGACTGAAGAAGGAGGAGAAATTAAAGAGGTATAATGTGTTTCTTGATATATACTTATTTCATTAAAGTTAGTCACCAAAAATCTACAAAGCTGAGGCCTCTGAGGATTATGGGAAGCGCTATTACATATTAAACAAGTAAAGCTTTTGATACAAATTGAAGCTTGAGGATGCTCAAAGGAGATGAAACTGTAACTGGTAAAAGATGTCAAGCCCATCAATAGTTATCAAGCTGTTGAATCATGTAAAATATATCTACCCACCCCATGCCTGTCTCAACTTTGTAACATTTTACTTGACTAACGTTTTTTAAAATAAGTATATATTATTTGGCCCCTTTTATGAATGGCATAACGTTTATGAACCTGCCATACCTAAAGCATGGGATATTCTACCCCTATCCTTGGTCATGTGCTCCAATTGATGTAACTCTCCCATACTTAAGCATGGAATATTCTACCCCTATCCTTGGTCATGTGCTCGAATAGATGTAACCCTCCCATACTTAAGCATGGAGCATTCTACCCATACCCTTGGTCATGTGCTCCAATTGATGTAACCCTCACATACCTTAAGCATGGAGCATTCTACCCCTCCCCTTGGTCATGTACTCCAATTGTTGTAACCCTCTCATAACTCAAAGCATCGAATATTCTACCCCTACCCTTGGTCATGTGCTACAATTGATGTAACCCTCCCATCCTTA